CTTTCTACATGGGTTTGCTTCTAGGTGTAATATAATTATAACTTAGGGTGAACACGAGTCAAGTATCCAGACATTTAGAGGTATTAGTATCTGTTTCGTCCTAATATAAATTATCTGATTCGATTCAATGAGTATCCAATCAGATATTTGGGACACTGGATATCCAGAAAAATTAAAAATTTTAAATTGGATATCCGATTCGATCCATACAAATAAAATTAAAATTTTAAAAATAAATAAAAAATTTAAAATTTAAAACTCTAATAACTAAAACAAATAAAAATATTGAAAAAATTATATAAAATATAATATATATAGAACTTCTATAAAGGGGTGGGCACTTTACCCGATACATGAACTCGTACCTAAACCCGGCCCGAAGTATCCGAACTTAAATCCGAACCGAACTAGTCAAATACCCGAACGAATATTGAGAGAATGGATATCCGAACCCGAACGGATAATACCCGAACCCGAATAGATATCCGAAGATAACCAAACTTATATATACATATTTTCTTACTAATTTATATGTCTTATTTTATTAAATATTTATATTAATGTTGTATTTAGCTTAAGATCATATAATAATATATATATATATATATATAATTGTATAAAAAATCATTTACTACTCATTTATGATTTATGTTAAGCTGCTTATTTCATGTTTTAACAAAAGTTGCATCTAAAATTTGAAAACAACAACCAGATTAATGATTTGCTATTTTCAATAATTTATTTTCAAACTTTTTAAGTATCTTACTTATTAATCACTAAAAACAGTTAAGTTAATAGTAAAATTTTAAATACATGAAACTTGAAAAATGAAGAAACCCGACCTGAAATAACCAAACCCAAACTAAATATATCCGAATCCGACCCGATATGTAAAAATACCTGAACGGGTACTAGACCCCAATACCGAAATACCCAAAAACCCTAAATACCCGATCCGAATCTGAAAGGGTACACGAACGCCCACCCCTATTTCTATACATACTTCTTTAAATATATGTATATATATGAAGATGATGGGCCAGATCGGATATCCGTTCCTAAAAATATTAGTATTTGTGATTTTCTTTGTTTCTTATGAATATTGCATCTTAGTATTTGTTTTGATTCGTAGAGTTACGGATATCCAGATTTTTCGATTCAAATCGAAACGAATAATGAAACATATAAAAATTTACAGATATTTTACCCAGTACTAATTATAAATACTTGCAAGTATTTAAAAATATAACTATAGCATAAAACATTTTTATTTTATTTTTACCTTACATTGTAGATCACCTTTTTTATTCAAAGAGTAGTTTTGTATAGCTTTTAATAGCAAATTAGATTTTGACCCGCACGTCCGTGTGGATATTTAATTTAATTTTTGTCTTGTACCAAATTAATTTTATAAGATTAAATGCATAATATATATATTAAAAACTTAAAAATATCAAATAATTGTTTAGTATGTACTTTTTAAACACATAATTTAATAAGAGAGATCAACAATAATTTTATTGTGTTTTCAGCAGCTATAATGTTAGCCAATTATATATATATATATATATATATATTTGTCTTCTTATATTTTCTTTCCAATAGAATCAATAATGTAAATATCCATAAAATAACTATTTATAAACATTTTTTTATTTTACATAATAATGTTCCGATTGGTGATGTTAATTGATTATTTACATGTATTTTTTTAAAAAAAATTAGGTTTTAGATTATATCATATTTGGTTAGTTAAGTTTTATATTATATATGATTTTATTATAGAACATTTAATTTTCTACTATGAAGTAGTTTTATAAAAGGAATATTCTTGTTTCAAATATTCTATGAATGATTATAATTGAAAATTGACATACTTTTATATATGTGAGTATATATGAAAATAATCTTGTTGCTCATTTTTATTTTCGGTTTTCTAATACTTAAATATTTATCTAATATATGGCTAATCAAAAATATAGATTGTATACGAAAGAGTGATTTCTATTTAGTTAATTTATAGCAATAATATATTAGGGATACCTTAAATTTGGTATTAGGATGTGGAGTTAACTATAAGTTTAAGGTATTTTTCTGTTTAAGATAGATTTAGGAAATATATTATTAATTCGTAAAGGAAAAAGAAACTACTTAAAATAAGTTCATTAAATATATTAGTGGTATTGAAGTGTAAATAACTTACAAAATTAAGGAGCATTTTTATTTTGTACTGATTTTTTAATAGATTAGATATTCAAACAAAAATTCTAACTTAACCTTCACAAGCGTTGATTAAGTCAAATATTAAATAAGGTAATAAAGAAATAAAAACCTGCACAATTCCATATTAAATAAAAAAGGATAAGGGCTTGATTGGCAGAACATTAACATTAGCATTATGCTCTTTATTATCCAATCAATATTTGTTAGAAAAACATTTAAAAAACATTTACCAAATGATAATGCTCTCATATGGAGTTTTTTGGGAGAACATTTACGGTTAAAATATATAAAAGGTAAAAAATAATTATACATAATCAAGTTATATTTATTTAATAATATAAAAAATAAATTTATATTTAAAAAAATAAAATTTCAATTAAATATTTTAAATTTGTAAAAAGAACAATATTTCACATTTAAAATATAATATAATTTATATAATTACACATATCATTCTTTATTTTTGATAACAAACATAACATAATATATATTTATATATTATAAATATAAACATATATATATATATATTACTTAGACACTAATAAAGAAATTGTATAACTTATATTATTTTTTATGATAGTTAATTTACTGCTCTACCAATAAATAAATAATGACAATTTATATATAAATTATTTATTTAATAATATTTAAATATTTTTTATATCCAAAATAATCTAATATATTAAACAGAAAATTTAAGTTTTTCAAAATAATAATATTTTACATATAAACTATAATAAGCTTATATAATAACTCAGACTTATTATTATTAATACATATTATAAACATATAAATGTTATTTTAATATAAATATATTATAATACTAACTATTATGATATTTTAAAATTGCATACTACTACTGCTCTACCATTCACTTTATTAAAAACTTTAATGAGCATACAACTTCTGTAGCATACTACTATTGATTTATTATTTACCCTACCAATCGAGTTTGTTCCATAATTCTTCTCTTTTCTTCTATAACAATGTCATAACAGATTTAACTCAATAAATAGTTTGGTTGGAAAAAAAAAAGAACGAATAACTTCAACCATTACCAATTTAAATCGTGTGGTTACAATTATCAACCACTTAATGATGTGATTCTTATACATTCACTTCTCCACCATAGATTCAAAAACTAATATCCATTTGAAAGATTCAGATTAATTTCATTGGTAAAGTGTTTCACATTTCCATCTTCTTCACATCCTTTGCCTTTCACATCTTCGATCCAGTAAATGAAACTTTCACATATTGATTTCTCTTCCCCTAATATTCATCTCTCTCAAAAGATGTTGAAACAAATAATTTTTAATCGTGCCTTCAATCTCCATTGGACGTGTGATGACGAGTACCCTAGTAGCCAACTACGGAGTTCAATATCCATTCGCTACACTTTGACGATCTTGACGACAAGGTTCTTAGATGATATAAATTGGTTTATTATGGTTTAGATATAACCATCTGGTTTAAGTTTCCTTTTCCTTATCCAGTCTATTTAAAGAAAGTTGTAATTAACAAACTTTACACTAATCAGTTCAAAAAGAAAAAAAACTTTACACAATTAATCAATTCATTCCATTATGTTGATAAAGGTCACGCCGGAAAGAATTGTTTGATTCATACCAGCGTTTCTCTTTGCGGGCGTTTTGCTTACATCGACCACGTCAATGCCCCCCGAGAGCTCTGTCACTGCCTAAAATGCGATTATTGCGTGCGACATCCCTAAAGATCATAGACTTTTGCTTCAAGCCGACGTGATGAAGCTCGAGTGCTCTATATGATCTTACCTACCTCCTAAATATGAAACTCGAACTGATCTCGCTTGCTGCAATGGCGGCGGGTTATAGGTTCAGAAGATCCATCCAAGAAAATGGTTTTTGGAAGATTAGTTCGATTCTCATGGTTGTTAGTTATCTGAGAGATTTAGTTTGGTTTCTAAAATCAAACACACATCCTCTCTTTGCTTAGTTCCGAAACCGTAGTAAATGGCTAAACATGTGTATTAAATTTATATTTTCTTTTGGTTTCTATTTCTGTAGATCACTTTAGGTTTTGTAAGTTGTATTTGAGAGCTTTTAAGATCAAATTCATTGTGTTGCAGTTTATCGGAGACAAAAACAGATAGAGAATTGTACAACGAATTTTGGTGCACATGAAACTGCATGTACACATGCACACTAAACTTACAATAATTTCTATGTAAACCACAACTAAGAAGTCCACGCAGATAATATTTATTTCCATGTTGACAATGTATAGTTTTACATCACGAGTTACAATCTATGTAGAAGAGAAGAAGCAACGAGGTTGCTAGAGATTAATGATGATTATTATTTCTTATTGTTGTTGCTTTTGTAATTTGGTTTTGGCAGCACATGGACATTCGTCGTGGATTTATTTGTTGTATTTGTTACATGGGATTTTCTTCTATTTACAAGTTATACTATGTTTTTTCTTTTTTTTTTGAAAAAAAAGTCATACTGTGTAGCTATGTTTACTTTATAAGAAGATGATGAAATGGTATAGATCGGTAGTGATGTGTGAAAATGTACAAGTAGTTTGGTGCAAATGGAAAATTACTAACGAAGAATCAAATTCTAGCAAACGCAAGACTCCTTTTATTAAAATCCACAAGCACAACACAAACATCACACTTAACCACACCCAAGCACAAACAGGGAAACATAGTCCATCAAGAGACCTCATCCACAAGGAGGCCCTGACATAACTTTATTCATTGAAAATCAAAGAGCCAACACACAACTAGCTTTTCATTTGGTGACTGGTGCAACATAGACTCCAATTTGATGAATCCAATCGCTAGCTTTTCCATGGAACCCAACGATTTTGTTACCTTCTTCCTTGAGTTCAACAAATTCTCCCCCAGTCATTCCAAATGGTTGAGATTCTTGCTTGTTAGTCTTGAATATCAAAGACGACACTAATGTCACACCGCGTCCCTCTGCATGAACTTTATCATAGTAGACACCCACAGACGTAATGTACTCACCATCCGCAAGCTCAAACTACAAAAAAAAAAGAAAAAAAGTTTCAAGAATTCAAATCTTGAGATGCATAGAACTTACAACACTTATAGATAAAGACAGAAATAGCCACCGTTTCAACTCCAAGTGCTGATTTTTTGCCATGACCATCGCCAAGAACTTTCTGGGAGCCATTCTCGTACTCGACCGCCACGAAAGATACACCATCAACATTTTGCCCTACTTGTATTTTCTTAACCCCGTCGAAAGCACCATCATCCCATGAAGCTCCTTCATCACCACCTACTGCTTTTAGCTTCTTGCTAGGTTTCAATGGAGTTGAGGCGATTGGAGCGAAGTAAGCTCCAAGAGAGTTGAGCTGAGTGTCTGCGAAGCCATGAAAGCCGACAATCTTCTTGTCTTTCACTTCAAGTGAAATATCTATACCTTCATCTCCAGGAGATTTTTGAGACCCGTAATACTGTGAAGTCTTTGTGTTGGTTGTGAACTGAATTCCATCAATCTTGTTGGTTGAATCAGACCAACCCTTCACGGTAAGGAGGTACTCGTTGGGATGACTTATCTCAAACTGTAAGGTAATAAAAATTTCAGTAATGTAGTTAACAATTTGTGTAATAGAAAGCGTTCTTTGAGGGAAGAATAACATGTCATACGTACCGTTTCAGTGAAAGATCTAGCTCCTTCCACACCATGAGCAGGTCCTTCCTTTGTCTGCCCGTTCTTGACATAATCAAACCTGACTTGCTCGATTCCTCGACCAACTGTAACATATATTTTTGTCACACCGTCGTGATCACTACCGTCGTCCCATGGGTTGCCTCCCTTGCCTCCTTGTGCGTCAAGTTTTTGAGTACTAGAACCGCTGTTGGATCCACTTCCACTGTCATCACGGCCACCATGTTTCGAACCAGTATCGAAGTAAGCTCCGATGGCATCGATAGCATTCCCACCACGTCCATGGAATCCGATAAGCTGGCCTCCATTTTCATCTTTGAACTCGAAATCTTTTGCATTCTTCTTCTTCTCACCGAATAAGGGAGAGGTAATACCCTTTGAGGTTGTGAAGTATAGAGATGTGATGAGAGTTGTATCATATGTGAAAACATTTTTGTAGCTTCCACCAACTTCCGTGATACTATCGTTTGGATAGTCCACTGAAAACTGTATTTCATTTTCCATTAGAAACAAAATACATATTAGTATCAAAGCAATTGAACATTTATCAAAAGTCATTTTATACCTCTTTTTGTTCCCCACGAACTGTCCCATGCTCACGGACGACTACTTTTCCATCTTTTATGTATTCGATCTTGATATAGGTTATGCTTAAGTCATCTGATCCCACAGTAATTTTCTTCACACCTTCGAAACCAACATCGTTGAACTCTTCTCCCTTCTCACCACCAAGCGGTCCCTTCTTACTGGCGACATCAGTTTTTGAACCGTCGCCAGCCTTACTTCCATGTGAACCGGTGTCGAAGTAAGCTCCAATAGCATCAATGGCATTACCACCACGTCCATGCAAACCAATAAGTTTTCCTCCATTTTCACCCATGAACTCGAACTCTGTTGCATTCTTCTTCTTCTCGCCGAACAATGGAGAGGTAATACCCTTGGAGGTTGTGAAGTAAAGCGACGTGATGAGCGTTGTATCATAAGTGAAAACATTTTTGTAGGTTCCACCAACGGCCGTGATATTATCGTTCGGGTAGTCCACTGAAAACTGTACATTTGATTTTTCATTAGAAACAAAATGTTCAGTAATATTAATTTAAGTCACACAGAGAAAATTATTTAGTTATTTTTACCTCTTTTAGTTCCCCACGAACTGTGCCATGCTCACGGACAACAACTTTCCCATCTTTTATGTATTCGATCTTGATATAGGTTATGCTTAAGTCATCTGATCCCACAACAATTTTCTTCACACCTTCGAAACCAACATCGTTGAATTCTTCTCCCTTCTCACCACCAAACGGCCCCTTCTTCCCGGGGACATCGGTTTTTGAACCCTCGCCACCCTTACCTTTTTGTGAACCGGTGGTGTCGAAGTAAGCTCCAATGGCATCAATAGCATTACCACCACGTCCATGTAACCCAATAAGCTTGCCTCCATTTTCACCTTTGAACTCGAAATCTGTTGCATTTTTCTTCTTCTCACCAAATAATGGAGAGGTAATACCCTTTGAGGTTGTGAAGTAAAGCGATGTGATGAGTGTTGTATCATAGGTGAAAACATTTTTGAAGGTTCCACCAACGGCCGTGATATTATCGTTCGGGTAGTCCACTGAAAACTGTATATTTCATTTTCCATTAGAAACAAAATGTTCAGTAATACAATTTTAGTCACACATAGAAATTTATTTAGTTACTAGATAGAGACTTGGGCTTTGTGAATAAATATGTCACTTTCGTTTTATAAAAATAATATTTCCACACATTTCACAATATTAAAATATATATATTTATGTTTTCATTAGTTACATTTATGTAACCAATAGTATTTGAGATAAATAAATATATTTATGATCAATACTTATGTAATTAATATTAAGTTGAAAGTAAATAAAAATTACATTTCAAAAAAAAAATTATTTTTTTGTATTAAGTAAAATGCTAATAATAACACTTTTAAGAAACAAAAGAACTAATTTTATATCAGCTATAATTTAAACACTTTGTTTAATAATAACAATATTGCTAATTAAGCCTAATTAATGCATGCCATGATTAGAAAATGGTAAATATTATATTATTATTACCTAATATATTGGAAATTGTGGTATATTTTAAGTTTGACCAATAATTATAAGTCTGTATAATTTTTGAATCTTAAGAAATTAATATATATTTCCATGTAGTACAAAAGTACAAATAAAATTTACCGTAATATAGTCTTGTAAAATCTTTAAGAAATTAATGTAAATTCCATATAGCACTAAATTTTTTTTTTTTTAAATTACTGTGTCGCTAAGTATACTCATAATTGTATTTTATTAAAAAAGTTTATTTAACTAGCATACAATATAATTAAAATTTCAACTCATTTTTCATTTATAAACAAAAAAATAAAATTATGTAAAATACTATTAAGAATATCCCAAAATTTTGTTTATGTAATTATATAGATCCAACTTAGTTTACTTTTTACATATATTTCAAATTTAGAAATAAAAAAATATAAATTAGTAATGTTACATAATAATGTTTATAAAAATTGTTACAAAATACATATTTATAAATTTCAAATTAATTATATTACAAGTCATATAAATATTATAAAGTTGGATAGTATACATAATCAAATTATATTTATTTATTGATATATTTTACTCCGTCCGTTTTTTAATATATGATATTTTGGATCATTGCACAAAGATTAAGAAATTTACATTCTTTTACAAAAATATTTTTAAAGATATAATTTTAAAATCATTCAACAAATTATTAAAAATACAGTAAAATTTTCTTGGTTGAATAGTTTCCAATAAAGTTAAAGGCAACCTTAAAACCTCAAAATATATATTAAAATCTCAAAACGTCTTATATTTTGAAACAAAATAAATCTTTTAAAACATCATCTAATTTGAAACAGAAGAAATATTATATAATTTCAAATATTCGTATTAAAATACCCGCACGGTTGTGCGGGTCGAGATCTAGTTAACTGTTAATAATCAGTATGTCCAATGGTATTTCGAGTAATTAATTTTTAGTAAGAGAAAGATTGTTAAATTAAGTATTGTGAGAAGAGGTAATATGTTGATACCTAAAAAAATGGTAATTGTGTAAATAATTTACATATTAAAGATTAGCTATTAAAAATGTTTTTCTTTTAATAATAATGGGGTTTTTACCTCTTTTAGTTCTCCACGAACTGTGCCATGCTCACGGATGACAATTTTTCCGTCCTTTAAGTATTCGATCTTGATATAGGTTATGCTTAAGTCATCTGCTCCCACGGTAATTTTCTTCACACCTTCGAAACCAACATCGTTGAATTCTTCTCCCTTGTCACCACCAAGCGGCCCCTTCTTCCCGGAGACATCAGTTTTTGGACCCTCGTCAACCTTACCCCCTTTTGAACCGGTGGTGTCGAAGTAAGCTCCAATGGCATCAATAGCGTTACCACCACGTCCATGTAACCCAATAAGCTTGCCTCCATTTTCACCTTTGAACTCGAACTCTGTTGCATTCTTCTTCTTCTCGCCAAATAATGGAGAGGTAATACCCTTTGAGGTTGTGAAGTAAAGTGATGTGATGAGGGTTGTATCATAGGTGAAAACATTTTTGAAGCTTCCGCCAACGGCCGTGATAGTATCGTTTGGGTAGTCCACAGAAAACTATAAATCATTTTTCATTAGAAACAAAATGTTTAGTAATATTTTAACTAAAGTCACACATAGAAATTTATTTAGTTATTTTTACCTCTTTTAGTTCCCCACGAACTGTGCCATGCTCACGGACAACAACTTTCCCATCTTTTATGTATTCGATCTTGATATAGGTTATGCTTAAGTCATCTGCTCCCACGGTAATTTTCTTCACACCTTCGAAACCAACATCATCGAATACATTTCCCTTATCACCACCAAGCGGCCCCTTCTTCCCGGGGCCGTCAGATTTAGAACTGTCTTTGCCGGAGTCGGTTCCAGAGCCTTCAGGTTTAGAACCGTCTTTGCCGGGGTCGGTTCCAGAGCCTTCAGGTTTAGAACCGTCTTTGCCGGAGTCGGTTCCAGAGCCTTCAGGTTTTGAACCGTCTTTGCCGGAGTCGGTTCCAGAGCCTTCAGGTTTTGAACCGTCTTTGCCGGAGTCGGTTCCAGAACCGCTAGGAGGATCAACAGGTTTTGGTTTGATGCTTCCAGGGGTAGGAATGGGAGCAAAGTGAACGTCGATGGAGCTGAGAGCATTGCCGCTGGTTCCTAAAAATCCAGCAATTTGGTTATCGCTGGGCGCGTCAGCTGAAAAGTAGTTCTGAGTTTTGTTTCCGTAAGGCCCATATGTCTTCTTGTTCGTCTTAAACGTTAACGCCGTTATAAGGTCCCCCGAAAAAGTGGTTTTGTAGTAACCAGACACGTTCGTTATGTACTCGTCCGTGCTCAGTGTGAACTGCCAAAATAAAAACAACGTTTAATAAGATGAAGAATTGATACTAAAGCGTTAAACACTGTGTACTAACTCCGTCTGATTTGGTGCCGACAGTGCCACGACGCTGGGACTTTAGGTTGGTTCCCTCGTATTCCACCTCGATGGATCTGATGACGTCATCGAAAGTAAGCTGCACTTTGTTCACCTTGGCGTGCTTTCCGTCATCCCAAGACATCTTAGCTAGTAAGATCAGTAAGATTTAATCTGCTAAGAACAAGACAACACAATGACTCTAACTTTAATTATTAGTTTGATCATTTCTATATCTGTAATAGAATTAGATTATGGTTAAAGAAAAAAAAAATTACTCTAACATCTTTAGTTGGACTGGTTCAAACTCCAAATAATAAATAGTACACATAATTGGCGATATAACATAATATTTGGTATGGAGTCATTATTGATACGATAACATTAAATTATTTATTATTTTCTAATATCCATTTCGGAAAATAAACCAAAACATACTACTAGATATTATGAGTTTTTTTTAATAAATAAATAAAATTAATGTCAGTATTTTATTGTTTTTGATAAAAATATGAAAACTGATAGAAAACAACTAAAACGTTGCAAAAAGTACTGATGAAATACTTATATCTGGATGAAAATGCTCTATATAAAAATAAGATCAGTATCAGAAGAAAAAAAAAAAAGAAACATAGCATGATATAAAAGCACAATAAATTAAAAATATAATACTGTAATAAATTTCAATGGGACCATAGTTGATATCAACAAGGTTAAGCCACATAAATGTTATGTTTTATAAAGAAAAGAAAAGCCTATTAAATAATTTAATGCTCCTTTCATAGTCTCTGAAATCTAGCCATCCAAAATCTCTGTATTCTCATGGATTGTTCTATCTCTAAACTCGAGAATGAAAGAGAGTGAGAGTGAGAGAGAGAGAGAGAGTACCTGAGTGGGAAGATGTATGAGAAGGAGAGTGAATTGCAATAATTGCGGTGGCAAATGGTTCGATATTTATTGGTATCTTGGCGATAAGGTTGGTTAACATTTCTTATTTGTCACATGGCGATATTCAACATTTTTGGTTGTAACCGACCGATAATTTATAGAAGGGAAAATTCCATATAAATACCCAACTAAATTATATTAAGCTTTTTAATACCCAAACTTTCTCACTATCCAGTTTAATACCTCAACTAATTATTCTGTCTATTTTAATACACCAACTTTTATAATTGTATCTATTTTAATACTCAAACTTTGTTTATTTTAATTAACAATACTAATAAATTTCAAACGAAATTTTTAAAAGTCTCCAAAATCTAAGAAAAAATATTTAAATTTTCTAAGTTTATTTGAAGATTTAAGAATAAGGTAAACAAACTCTGTAGAAAATTTATTGTTTAAAAAAAAAGTTTTTGAAGGAAAAAAAATAATTTACTTTTTATTTAAAAAAAACAAACTAAATTCAATATATAAAACTTAAAAAACTTATTACAAAACTTAAGATTATAAAAAAATTATTTAATTTCGTTACTCAAACATATAATAAAATTAAATTTTTTGTGAAGTTTAGACATTTTTAAAATTTCATTGGAAACTTATTAGTATTGTTAATTAAAATAAACAAAGTTTAAGTATTAAAATGGATACAGTTATAAAAGTTGATGTATTAAAGTGGGCAGAATAATTAGTTGAGGTTTTAAACTGTGTAGTGAAAAAGTTTGGGTATTAAAAAGCTTAATAGAATTTAGTTGGGGTATTTATATGGAATTTTCCCTTTATAGAAACAATTACACTCTAAGGCAGTTTTGTATTTTTTATATCAAGAAAGACACTTTCTTTTACTAAGGTACTTTATCTTAACAATTTCCTCTTCTAATTCTATTTTCTAAGTATTCGTTTACTAACTACTCTTCCTAATAAACAAAACAAATAAAGTGGATCCCATATATTTTTTTTTTCATTTTTTTCTGAGTTTTCTACCTTTTCCTGTAAATAAATTATATTGTTCTAGAATTTTTTTATTTAAAAAACATGTATTTAATTAGTATCTTCATTATTTAATATATTTTAAGATATGTCAAGATATATTTATGAAGATTATATAATCGTGATGTATATAACATTAACAATGTGATCGTTTAAAGCTTCAACGATGACGTTTACATTTTCTCGCGTCTCCTTACTCTGCTCTTACTTCAAAACTATTGTCACTGTCGTGCTTTTTATTGTCACATTCACCATTTGTGAGAACCTTGATAACAACAATGGCCAACTTTGAACTAATGTACATGTGATTTTTTATAAAATCATTAGATATTATAACTTCCTTTGTAGATGGATTTGTGAGCATCAATGCTTTGTTTTGATTCAAGAACCAGAAAAAATTAGAGTGGACAGAAGATACATTTCCCTTGTTGGGGAACAATATATAGCGTTTATGTATTATTGTACAAATTTTGTGTACATGTAAATCATTGTACATGTAGATGTATTTTGGCATTAAAATGTAGGAAGGTTGTTCACTGTTAAAGAGAGAAGAAAATGAGATTGAAAATTATGGGGTCTATTTAATTAGAAGAGTAAACGTAATTGACTTATAATTGTAAAAAATTACCTTAGGAGCAATAACTTCCTTATCTTGTAATAAAAATCTTAAAACTGTCTTAGGATGAAAATAACTCTACTTTATACAAGAAAATAAAGCTACGGTCCCATTGATTATAAATGTAACAGTAGAATGATTGATTGATTAAGAGTGTAACAGTAGAATGATTGGTGTAGAAATACGTTAGTACGTGTTCTTTATCGTCGAAATGGCAATAGATATCCTTTTCGATTCAAACAAAAAGAAAAAGAAAAATTCCTTCTCAGTTTCACCGACCAGAAATAAATTATTAATCAAATAAAGCAGAAAATGGTCCCATTGATTGTTTATGATTGTAACAACGTTTTAATAATTGGTGCATAAATAAGTTTGTACACTTTAAAGCCGCTGTAACTTTAATTTTCTTTTGGTTTTGGATAAAAATGTGACGCATCCAGAGACATATAAATTGCTTTATATTACAATGAAAAGACTTGTATGGCTGGCTTTAGATTAACGACCTGAGAATCGAGGCAGTGACAGGCCCCAAGGCGAAACTTGAAAAAAAAAGTTTATATAAAAATGAAATTATCAAAATTATATATATATATATATATATATATATATATATATATATTCATATTTAAATTAAAATATATTTTGTAAATTTTTATTTGAAAAGATATTATTAACGAACTATCAATTTGTTATATTATTTTCGGTTTATAATATAATTTCCATTATAATCATTTGAAGATGTAGATAATTTTACTATAATTTACATTTCCAACCATATGTATACTTTGAATATAATAAGAAATAAAATTGAAGTATAAACTAAATTTAAAGAAAGAATAAAGAAAATTATGTAAAACTAAAACAACAGAATTTCAAACAAGAAAATATCTATATAAATAATAGAACTCATACATATTTTTTAGAAAGGGGTGCCCATTAGTTCAAAGAAAAAAAGAAAAAAGAAAGGTGCATGTTATAAACCATTGTATTGTGGATATCATAAATCAGTCCAGTTCATTAAGCCCATAAGCGGCTAGTCCATAGGCGGCTGGACCATCTTTCCTTTTCTCCATCGGCTGGTTTTTTTTTTTCTATATGGATTATGTTTTGTACTATTTAATTTTTCATTGGGTTAAGATTTCCTTTTACTTACTTTTAATTCCCTATATAAAGGTCACCTTATGATTTATGAATAATATACATCTACTCCCCTATTAGTTTTACGACACGTTATCAACACGATCAAGTCTCTCAGCCCTAAGCTAAAAATTCTGACCAGAAACCCTAGCTCCCTCGGCTAAGAACCTTGACGGTGAGAACCCTAGCTGTGTAACTCTAATCCTAATTCTTGTTCAGCCGCCGATCTCATCCTAATCATCTCGATCAAGAACCATGCAATCCTCGATCCGATCTCTGCAAGTTCCAGTCTGATCCGATCTCAGGAAGTTCACCCGATAGATTGCAAGTTCCGATATTGCGGCTCGTACCCAGCTCGTCCCAATCCGCGACCCGACCAACAATTCGCGATCCGATACTCGACGAGCTCCATCCGCGATGCAGCACGATCCGGTTCCAGATTTGCGATCTAGAGTTCCAGCTTGTTCGGTCCATTCAACCCTATTGGTGATTAAGGCAATTCTGAAAACCTAATTTAAAGAATCAAAACCCTAATGGTTAAAATAGAAACCCTAGATTCGAAACCTTAATAGAATTGTTAGGTTGAATGGTTCGTTTAGGTTGTTAGTTGGAACCCAATCATGTTCTGATTGCTTGATTGTTTTGGTTGAGATTTACATAAACACTTAGAACCCAGGTGCTAGGATTGTTAAAACCCTAATCGAAACCTGATGTTTTGAATCCCTAAAATTGAATCCCTAAAATCGAATCCCTAAATCAAAACCCTAAACTACATGTATGCATAATGCATATGATGCATGAAACCTTGAAACCCTAAATCGTTTTTTATTTGCTTGATTCGATTGATTTATTGATTGCCTTTAAGGATTGAGATTGTTTGTTTTTATTGGCCCGATCTTAAACCCTAATATGCTAGATCCGTTTTGAAACCCTAAATCCTAATCGCATATTTCAATTGATCGATCTTGTTGAATGATTGTTTTGACAGCTAGGGTTGTTTACTAGATTAATTGTTTTCATGATTGAAACCCTATTTTTGGATCGAAACCCTAAAACCCTAATCTGCACATTGCATATTATTAATCGAAATGAATGCTATAATTAGTTGATCCAAATTGAGTGTTTTAAGGTTTAAGATTGCTTGATGGATTTTGATATATCAGATTGCTAGTCTCATGATTGAAGTCGATACTTAACACTAAATTGAATATGGAGCATTGAATCTGGTTGATTGTCTTGATTAAGGCCACACGATTTTTTCATGATCTTCGCATAAATTGATAAGATTGTTTTGAGATTATATGGTTACACTCCTGTACATTTTAGAATACGTACTGCTAGGTTGTTTGCATCATTCATATGTACATGTTGGATCACGTAATGCTAAGATTGACTTGCATCATATACCACCTTGGCCACATGAAAACATATAGACATTGATTGTATGTTAGGCTTGTTTGAATTATATTACCTTGGCTTGTTTACATATAGAAATTGCGTCAAGATTACAATGTTTACATGTTAATATGGACGCATGAATTTTATTTTCTGTGAGATCTAAAATTGAGTGATATATGATGTCGAAAATCAACAATTTGGACTTTACAGCCCTAAAATAATTATTTACAATGGGCATTAGACACAAGGATTGTCCTGGAATCAAAGGGCCTCGGTGAATGTATCATCGAAGACAATAGTGCAAGTGAAAGAAATATATACATGGCAATAATGATTATTCGCCATCATCTTGCTGAAAGTCTCAAGGATCAGTATCTAACTATTGAGAATCCCTTAGACCTTTAGACATAATTAAAAATGAGATATGATCACCAAAGAATGATGTTATTACCAAAGGCTAGGCCTGGGCATATTATCTATAATCCAGAACCGAACCCAAACCCGAACCAAAAAATCCGAATCCAACCGGTTATGGATCCATCATAATACCCAACCGGCTCTGATATGCTGATACTTTGGATATTGGGTATGGGTTCGGTTTAATCCGAAACCCGAAGTATAATCCAAAATAACCGAAGTGTATGTATTATGTAGATAAATATATACATGTATTACACGAAGTCGACAATTTTCAAGACACGTTTTGTTATTTCCAAAGTTTGAGAGACATGTTTCTTAGTTCTTATTAGTTCATCTTACTTAACAAATTTTGTGTTGATACGATTATATATTATGTGAGTTATCATATTTCACTTTTCACTTGGATCAATTTGTAAGCATTT